CCTGCGAGGTCCGCGCTTTAAGAAGGCGGCGCCCCTTCCTCCCGCGGACCTCCTCTCCCGGCCCCGCTCGCTCCTTTTACTCAAGGGGTGATTTCTACAACCGTATTTAGACCAGGAGCTAAAAGAGAAAAGGGAGAGGGCACTCATACACATGCACGGGCCAGAATTTTAAGTTTTCGGTTTCATACACCCTATAAAGCTGTTGGTGGAGCGGCGCCGGGAGGCAGGAGGCAGGGGGTTAAGGTGGTGTGTGCGCGGGCGCGCGCGCCTTTCTGCCCTGGGCCCGCGCGTAAAGTTCTGAAACACAGGCAACTCGGCCGGGGCCCCGCACCCCTCTCTCCCGAGTCCTCGGAACTCCGTGGCAGATGCCGGTGACCTGGTCCCTTTGGCTCCCCTTTGCACACCTGCACGGCCACTACGTGTGCGCACGCTCCCCGCAGACGCCGCCCCTGCTGGGAGCCTTCGGCGCTATGCGTGGCGTCGGGGCGACGCAGGTTTTGGCTTTGGGGGATCCTGCCAAGGAACTCGCCCAGCGTGCTCTTTAACGCCCTGGGTTTGAATAAGTCCAACCCATCCTTGCGTGTCAGCTCGGAGGAGGCGGCCACCGGCTCCATCTCTGGTTCGAAGCGATGCTGGGCCCGCCCTAGAGACCTAGGGCCCAGGAAAGGGCTGCGAGTGGCCTTCCAGGCTGAACCTCGCGGTCCTTCCCTTCCTGAGGTTCACCCCCCCTGCCTGCCACCTCTCCAGCCTTCGGCCACCATTACGCACAACTTCGGAGAGGGGGGCCAGATGCCCACGATTTCTTAGTTTTCCCTCTGCTTTTGGGGTTGGAGGTCGCAGGGCTGAATCCGAACACCTGCAATGCCGCGACCCCCCCCGACTCTGGGCTCACTGGGGTCTTGGAGCTGGTCCAGGGCAGATGAAAATTTGAACCCAGAAGCTGGAGGGAAAGTTAAAAGGAAGCCTATGGTTGCTGGGGTTTCCAATTCCTATACAACAGACCCCCCCCGGGAAGCAGAGCGGGCAGAGACCCTCCTGAAGCGAGCCCGGGTGCCGCGTATTGATTCCTTTATCCCGCTTTCTGCCTCCGCCTCACTCCCACCCCACCTCCTGCACTGTTTGTTTTAGTTACGAAATTCTGTGGGCACCTCCGTTGTGACTGAAAAGTAACCTTGAAACGCGGCGTCCTGAATGTCAGAGACAAATTACAGTCTCCCAACGGCCG